AAAATGTTCCCTTTAAGGATCTCTTTGGTTCACCTGGACATAAAAACGAGAAGGCCCAGGTAGCAGAGAACACACATAAACCACTAGAATGTCCCCACGCATTATTCCCTCCTCTGCTTTCCCACAGCACTGCTGTTTTATTTATCAGAAAACAGAATAACTGAGTTCTATCTCAGCTCACAGGAGAAAACACCTATATTAAGATTGGGATTTAATGAAGTATTTTTTTGTCTGTTTTTCTAGAGTCCCAAAATAAGAAACACTAGAGTTTGTTAGGCAGATTAAGGAATATTTCTGCACTTCACCCAGTTACAGTGAGGAGCAGGGTGTTCTACATTATTTAGTGCCTCCTTCAGGTCTCCCACACCAGCCTCCTTAGGGGAAGGGCCTGAGAACCAGTATTGCTAACAAGAGCCTCATGTGACTCATTATCAGACGTACTTGGGAAACTCTAGATTAGATGAGCCCTAAAGTCTTTCCTTCTGAGATGTGGCACTTCTGATAAAAATTAAATTACTAGAAATGGCATGCGTACTATGCTGTATAGTAGAAATTAAGTTCTGTTCATATATATCTTAAAGTGCTCAGCACAATGAATGAACCAAAACTATTTACGCTTTTGTCTCCCCCCACTAAAGGGTGCTGTCCATAAGGCCCATGATTTAGTACCACTAAGCGACACACTGTCTGGTGCAAAATATGTGCTTCATGAGTTTTGAATAAATGACTATGTCAATTGCAGCAACTAGCTGCCAATCTTACCCACACAGTCTTCCCTTGTTCAAGCTCCTTGGTGCCAAAAACCAGCACCCAGTGCCCTAAGAACACTATTGGCAAAGCAAAATTAAAATAAGAACTGGTGATTCTATATTCAAAACTCAGCACTTATTGTTCGACTGGCTGAATGATCAAGGCCGTACTATTTAGTACTTGATGTCAACTATACTTGAATATGGATGGAGAACTTTTATGAGACCAGGAAGAGAAGAATTCACACCACCCAGGACAAATTTTCAAGACAAACAGAAATATTGTACTGTGCCTGTGAAATGGACTATTAAAGAGCTTCTGTAATAACTGGAGTGAGTCTATTTTCCTGGTGCACAAAATCCCTTAGAACCCTTTGTAAAACAAAAGCAAAATAAATGGATGGCGAATGCATAAAACCAATTTAATTCTCTTTTTACATAGTCAGAAAAAAAGGAGATATAAGAAAAAAACACTTCGGAGTCAAATGATCAGGTTATTTCTCACCATTGGAGTAGTTATGGTGCCATAATATACAGATTAGGAGCAGAATAATATATTCATGTTTGTGGCCAAACATTTTCCAAGTGCATTTCAGGTCTCTAATCATGGTTTGTACTTACTGGCAGTAAACAGAAAAGACTCCCACCCACTGGGCCCGTTTGCTATGACTTTCCTCAATTAAGATTTCATTCATAAAAACTTCCCAAACAGAACTGATTAAGACCTCTGTCTAATGCTGCTCTCACCAGAGCAAATGTATTTATGAGAATGTACACAAGGAAATTTTGAGGACTCTACAGTCAAGAGCTTCACTCAGTAGCTCCTGTCATTTACCTCCTACTTTTTCCCTTCTCCTAACTGCACAATTATCCTCCTGGCAAGAACTTCCTCATTGACATAGCAGCCTCCAAGGATATTTTCATATTATAAAGTCAGTATTCTTGAGGACAGGGTAAGCTGAATTCAACTGGCAGATATTACCAGTAGTGAGTTAGTGTCAGCTACAGGTGAAACTCATCAAGGCATTTGGTATTATTTTCCTTTTTTCAAAGAGTCCAGTATATTTGATCACATTATGTCTTACAATAGATTCACCTATAAGAACTCCTATTTTTTTCTAAAATGCTACAAGTTGTTATTGTCTTCAGTAGGAGAAGCTGTGCTATGTATCCATCATAGTACCTCCTCTTCCCCATGTACCTTGATACATGGTTCACATCCATTCTCTACGCAACCAACCATCTACACTGGGTGGACAATATGACTCATATTAAACCTCAAATCCCCTTCAATCATGTCTGTTTCTTCTCTCTTAGGAGGAGTCAGCTGCACTCACTCACCTGTTTTCCTTCTCTTTTACCTCACAGAGTTCAGTAAACATTACTTCTGACCATCTGTTCCTTACACATATACAGCATTTCTTTAGCTTTGTTGCCCAATGTACTTGACCTCTTAAGCAGTTAACAACATCAATAACAAAAATCTCACCCTACCCTCTGTTTCACACATAAGATGAGAAAACCAAGAGTGATATCGCCCTTACACAGACCTCTCCAAAAATAATATTTTTAGAATAAAATTAGATATCATACAAACCTACCTGAGAAATTCTCCAAGGTGCCCATAGCTCCCACTAAGAATCACCATAAAATCCTTACCTGTTTAAATTTCTGCCATTTGATCCACTTTTCCTTAAGCGTGTAAAATTTTAAAATATTTCTTATTACATTGCATTGATTCTCTTTTTCAATTAAGTTTATCAAAATATTTCTGCATTCACTCATTGCAGTATCATAACCTTTAAATAGTCCTTGATGGGCTAAACAGTGCATCCAACCACTTCTAACAGTGTTCTAATGGGACCACGCGTTTCTCAGTAAACAAGTGGGGCCAGGTCTACACGTTAAAAACATGGCACACAAAGACCACACAGACACCGAAAGTCTATGCTTGCACTATTCATAAGTAAGTTGTGTAAATTGAGTTTCATTATAATTTGGATTCAAATTTTCTCCTGTGTAGTTTATCTCTCATTAGCCTCGATGACATCTGCACTTTGTTTCCATTTCAAGATTACATATCCAGGTAGAAATGCCCTTTCAAATGTTTTACTTGCACACAGTTGTTGTCACTGCCATAAATTCTATTTTCCCATGATTCAATCTGTCCTGTCACTCTCCAATGATGCAAAGGTGGGAGGTAACAAACAATGTGGGAAGGGTGTGTGTGTCTGCATGTGTCTGTGTGTGCGTATGTGTGTGTTGAGGGAGTAGAGAAAAAAGGGACAGGGGAAATTTGTTTAGATATATAAAAAGTCTAATTTCTGGCCTTGAGAACTGAAGGCAAGCCCCTATATAAATTCTAAATAATAACTTCTGAAAATGGAGGAAGTGTTCTGCCACTTCGGTACTTAGCCAATTTGTTCCTATTACTTTTAGTATGTTTTTTAATGATTCCAACACATTCCACCACAAGAAGAAAAAAAAGTTTGACTGTGGTGGTTCTAAATTAAATGCCTGTGTTAAATTATGCCATTTTGAAACATTAAATTTATATATAAATGAATATATATAATATATATTTAAAGTGCAATATATACATATATAAAATGCTACCACGGATTTAAGTTCATCTCAATAGAAAGGATAAGAAGACTAGGCTATAACTGATGAGCAGAGCAGCTCACATTGGGCGATTTACGAGGGCAGGCTGCGGAGCAGGTGGGCGGGGACAGGAACAGGTGCAGCAGGTTAGACCAGTGGTTACCAAAGTGTAGTCCCCAGGCAGGCACAGCCCTGCAAAAATCTCAATTACTGGGCCCCCCTCCAGACCTACTGAGTCAAACACTATGAGCATGTTTTTTTGTTTGTTTGTTTGTTTTTTAGAGAGAAAGGCAAAGGGAGGAAGAAAGGGAGATAAACACTGATCGGCAAGAAAGAAATATTAATCAGTTGCCTTCCATACATGCCCTGACTGGGGACTGAACCTACAACCCAGGCATGTCTCCTGACCAACTGACAACTTTTCGGTTTGCTGAATGACACGTAGCCAACTGAACCACACCAGTCAGGGCCATGGGCTTGTTTTGAACAATGATACTGACCCCTCCCAATGATACTGACGCATGGTAAAGTGTGGGAGCCTCTGGGACACAGGGATTCAGAGATAAGAGGCTGAGGTTACCCTTCATCTGCTTATCCAGATGACAATGCCAATTACAAACCATACCTGTAATGAAAGACTCTGGAAGAGAGCTCTCCTATGTCATCTAGAATCAACAACCACAGTTCTACTCCCCAATAATTTCCAGTTCCAAATTCGACATGCAAGCTGCAGGCCTCCTGGGGGTGAGGGGGAAAGACTGATGAGGCCATGACCTTTCAGAGCAACTAATCTGGGTGTGGCACTCTGCAGAGGGAAATTCTTGGCAAAGACTTCCCTTTATAAACTCTAGATATAATATTACATTAGCTCCAATCTTGGAAGTTGGATAACTCAAGGATATCAAGATGCTGAAACACTTTTAAATAATATATAGACATGAATGCTCCTAGAGTAATCCAAACTGAAAATTCTTTTTAAATTTGTTCATGCTAAGCACGTGGTTTCTGAGTCTGCTCCGTCATTCTTAAGACTCAGCCTGTGCTTGTTCCAACAGTGACACCCTGTTCCTGTAGGAATGGGTGTTGGCAGTGCTGGTCACAACAGTACACGAGCCACACAGTACACTGGAGTCGGAGGAAGCAGGTGCTGAGAGCATAATTAAGTACGCACAGAGGAAACAGGAGTGGCAGCAAAGAAGGGTGGGGAGGAAAGCTATCCTTCCTGAGTGTCAGGAGATGGAGGAGGAGCGACTCCGAAAGCTGACTTCCAAAGTCCACAGAACAATTTAAGAGCATACAGACACTTACTGGGTCAGAAAGACCACAAGTGTGAATTAGATGCCTGCCTCGTATGGAATAAACATTTATAACTTCATAAAATTCAACCCCCATGTTGCATGAAACCAGGAAGAATGAAAGCCCAGTGCTCTGAAAACTCCTCGAATGAACTGAGTTGCCTGAAAAGCCAACTGGTTTACATAACAGAGGACTGGCTCTAGAATAAATATTCAAAATTCATTCCATCAACCAATCTTCATCAGAAAAAGCAGAAAGTCCTTTCATGACTTAAATTTTTGGTCTGAAGCAACACAAAACAACATCTTTCATGCACAGTCTGCTAAAGGTTTAAAAAGAAATGAGACTGACCGGGCTGCACTGGTGAGCTCATCACGGGAGTTGGTTGGACTGATGGGTGGGATGCAGTTTCACAGCCTTCCTTCAGCTGGCAACGTCGGTCCCCGGGGGGCTGGTGGAGGAGAAACCTGGAATGCAAGAGAGATGCACATGGATGATACACATTATGTCAAACCACGAAGGAAAAGAAACAGTCTCCCCTCAGCCACAGCTCAACCGTAGGTCTTTGAGGAAGACACATCAACTTCCCAAGTGTCTGAAATCTTCATCGATAATGACCTATATCAATATGTTGTTATAGATATATACAGCTATCACATATAGATATACAATCTAATATTATTTATGCATCTATTATCTGAATTTTACCTATAAAGGAGCAAATTTATCAGTCATGCTAAAAACACAGAAATATACGAACACCAAAATAAAATCTGTGAATAGGAAACCACTTCACATTACTTATAATTAGTTCCCTATTTACTAGTCACTGTAATTTCTTGTTGTTGTTTGTTATCATTATTTTAGAAATTTAAAATAGTTTGTGGAATTTTGGATGTAAGTATCTCATTACATAGTATTTTTATCATTGTCAAAGATTTCCATCTAGAGATAGGACATCTTGGCAAAGGAATTTTAATGGACTTAAAAAAAGGGATAAATAAACCATAAAGCATAAGAGCGCAGGAAACTCCCCTTACAATTTCCATTTCTTCTTGAAGACTTTTGCAATCTTGTTCCAGCCAAAAGTAGAAACAGCTATAGGCCTTCTAGGAGTGGTACAGGATGGGCTTCTTGAAAGGAATTTAAGGGGCTTTCTGATTTTAATTTGGATGCACTCTCACCACTAGACACTTCAGCAGAGGAAAAGCAATTGGAAGGGCAGTTTCCTCACAGTTTACTGGAATTTGTCAAAGTTTAAAAAAAGAAGAGGAAGAAGAAGAAGCTTTTAATGTTGCTCTTAATGAGTTTCTTACAAAAACAGTATGGCCCAACTGTACTATTTTTATACACAGAATGCTGTAACTCTGAGAATTAGGCATGTCTTTACCTTGAGAATCCAATGTATTTATTGTGATTTGTTTTCCCACCCATATTTTGAAAGTGTTATTACTATTTTTTCACCCAAATGTATAAAGCAGGGTATAAGTATATATTTCTTTTGAAGAACTATGTAAGCTCACCAAAAATACTTATAATACTTTAAATGGTCTGTCAATAGAAACATGCTCATTATCAGAACAGTTGAATACAGTCATTAACTGCAGCAGGCTACTTCTCATCATCTCTTTAATGCTGGTTATATATTAAGATTTAGTAAAAATAAACTATATATTTTTTAAATCTTCAAAATTATATGATGTGCTTATTTTACTAACATTATTTAAAGAATCTTAATTTCCATGTTGATGAAAAAGCAATATGTCTTTAAAAAGTGAAAAAGGAAGAACAGAAAACTTTTTATTTCTGTATCAGCAAACAGACATTCTGATTCTGGCTTATAAATTTAAAAAGTCAATGCCATATTCTAAAGAAAAAATCCTTTGAAGTTTTAAATAGTTTCAAAGTACGTTTAGAAAGACCATACTGATGTCATTTTTATTTTTTTTTAATATTTTGTTTATTTTTAGACAGGGGGAAGGAAGGGAGAGAAACATCAATGTTTGGTTGCTTCTCACATGCCACACACACGCCAGGGAACCTGGCCCGTAGCCCAGGTATGTGCCCCAACTGCGAATTGGAGTGCTGACCCTCTGGTTCACAGGCCGGCGCTCAATCCACTGAGCCACACCAGCCAGGGCTGCTGTCATTTTTCCTTCAACCATGCTAATACATACTTGTCACACTCTCCCATACCCTCCTTCACAGGTGAGAAAAATAGGTGAGATGGCATCTGCTTCATAATTATAAGGTAATGAAACAAAATCAAAATTAAAACTTGAATTAGAGTTAAATTTATAGGGCATCTAAAATTAACGAGTGTGAACTTTGACATTTTTAGCATTTTTACCTTTATTACATTGCAGTCTGGAACATATCCTAAATGCTCTTGCTGCATTCTGGATTCTCAATGGTTTGATTTTCAATTAAGAATAACAAAAAGCAAAGGGCAGGAAGGCTTAAGAAAATGTAGGGAAAAGAACACTAAAAGGTGCCTTCCATCAGAGGCACAGTTCTCAGTGTTTAAACAAAACAAAAAAAAGTTAATCTATAATGCCACTTTGTACAATCGATGCTTGTATATTTCCAAATACAACCCAGTTTAACCAAAATATCCAATAGTTAACAGCAGTAATACCAAGGTGAAGTTTTGTTCCCTGTCCCAAAATCTAAAATTAGAAAAGATGCTTCTATTTTCACCACCTCTGCCTCTTATTTCCACAAACATAAATAATGCCGGTCCAGGACATGCTGATTTATGGCTAGTGACATAATTACTGGGTTTTGCCTTCACAGCTCTAGATTTGAGTTGCAGTTAATCTCAAATGGAAATACAAATTCTACTTCTAAAATATCATCATTAAATGCCTTTTTAAAATTTAAACTACTCTCCTTGCCATTCAATCTTTTTAATAACTTCCTAATCATGACATATTCCTCTAACATTAGGAAAGCCTTGTTACCTGAACAACTATAAAGAGAATTAACACGTACTTCTATGTTGATAGGTACTAGTCTCCAGTTATTGTGTCTTCATTCATAATGAGCCACAATGAACCAAAACGTCACAACTATAATTGCATAACTGGAATATGGTTCTTTTTCTTGAACATTTATTTCTTTTTAGAGAGGGGAAGAAAGGGAGAAAGAGAGAAAGAAAAACATCCATGTGTGGTTGCCTCTTGTATGCCCCCTACTGGGGACCTGGCCTGCAACCCAGGCATGTGCCCTGACTGGGAATCAAACAAGCAACCCTTCGGTTCACAGGCCAGCATTCAATCCACTGAGCCACACCAGCCAGGGCTGGAATATGATTCTTTAAAGAGCTCTCCACAGGTTTCAGAGGCACTGACCCTTTAAACATACATGCACATTGTGTGTATTTCTGTGTGTGTATGTGTGTGGGGGGAGGGGAGAGAGAAAGAGAGAATCACCAATTATCTACCTAAGCTTCCCCTTTTCCCTTTGCTGGTAGCTAACAAATCAACTGATTAGCAGTTCCTATTCACACCTTTTAGAGACAAAATTGATATGGAATTTTACAAATGAAGCTCTAGCTCTTGGAAAAGAAAGATGGGTCAGTGGGGAACATCCATCAACAAGAATGAGCAATTTATTCTTAAATCTTCTCATACTTTTGTATCCAAACGGACTGCAGAGAAACACTATTTTCTGAGAATGGGGACGTTTTCTTCTAGTATATAAGTCATCCTTACAATGAGCCTAAACTAGAAATTATAAGAAACTGGCCTTCAACTGAGTAGATAAATCAAAAAAAAAAGTACTGTTTATTGAGAATACAGGTCATCAAAGTAGATATAGGAATATATCTGGTTTCAATTAACTTGCCTATTAATTTGCCTATGCTGTAAAAACATGTGCACACTGAAGGACAAAAAGAGAAGAACAGCAAGAGGAAAACTGTTGCTATGAATCTTTTCTTAAAAAGATACAAGAATGGTTATTTTGACTCTTGACTATCCTTGAGCTACCTGGATCCACGATTAGAAACTACAGATCTTTGCTTCAAAATGACCATCTCTGACTACAAGTTAGTCTGCTGCCTGCAAGCAAGTTACTGCTTCGATATCCTGGGATAAATAGCACAAGGCAACAGCTCTAGGGGTGACATCCTGCAGTGACTTTGCTTGCCTGTGCAGCCAGCCCACGCTGCTCTCATTATCACTGTGGTCGTTATGTTATGCCATAGGTCCTTCATGCATTGCCCCTACATGGACTGTTCCATAGTAATGATAGCAAATCAGCAGACTTTACAAACGATAAAACTTGCCCAAGGATTATCTCCTCCAATCATCAAACGGCCCTTTGGAATATACTGAGCAAGCCATTATTATCCCTATTTTACAGATGAGGAGTATTCACAGACATGCAGGTGGTAAGGGAAGGGCCGGTCCTCTGACCCCTGGCTCAGGGCTCTCCTGCAGAGCACCGCAAGGAATTACGGCCCTTCCAGCACAGCTGCTTCAGTGACAGGACTGTCTACAAAGCTGTCACAATTTTAATAATGACACACTGAAATACAGGTCTTCTTCATTAAAGAACTTATCTAGCCAATGAATTCACTGAACTTGGACACAAAAGATGATAAAATAAATAAAAGTCTAAAATAAATGTCTGCAAGAATTCTCACAGCATAAGATTTTAAATCTGACTTAAACATCATGTACTTACTACAATATTTCTATTGTTTTTTTTTAATTATAGTCTGAGCTTCTTATTATGCTTTTTCTTTTTCTTTTTTCCTTTCAGGCAATTGGTATTATTTTGGACAGTGTGCCACTAAGAAAGCAGAATGCTTTTGTCGTTTCTGTAGTCAGTGAAAACTACGTTTCTAATGTATCTTCCCCAGATTTAGGGCAGTTGTAATGCACAGTTCAGTCTGCAGGCTCTTTTCTTCTCAGATGGAGCCATTAGCTCCAGTTCCTCTGAAGAGTAGGATTCACAAGCTGACTCAATTCATAGCATCCACTGTAGAGATAGTTTATTAGTGGAATAAGCCTACTGTGCCAGTTCATTGAGTATCAGGGGGTTCTTCGGAAACACAGTCTCTCTCTTATGCCTCAGAATCTAAAACTGCCACAATTTCATCTTTAGAGAAAAATACAAGAAAATTGCTCTTAACATTTTATTCAATTCAACAAACTTTTACTGGCTACATCAAAGACACTCCATTACCGCATTATGGAAACCTCAGCTTTTATTTCATTTTCTGCTTCTTGCATTTCACGTGTATAGTCACCAAAGCCAGTCCCATGATACCTTATTTTTAAATCATATTTTATTGATTATTCTATTACAGTTGTCCTGATTTGTCCCTCTTTGTCCCTCCTCCAACATCCCCAACGCCCTCAGGCAATCCCCTCACCATAGTTCATGTCCATGGGTCATGTTTATAAGTTCTTTGGATACTCCATTTCCTATCCTGTACTTTATATGTCCATAGCTA